TCATTTATGTAAAGGAACTGATTCAATTTCAATAGGAATTGGACAAAGATATGGTATATTTTTATGATTTTTTTGATTATAGCAGGACCTACATATGGGAATTTTTTTTCCTTTGTATTTGGGTGAAATTCTAAATGAAAATTATCAAAAGCCTCTTCAATTGGATATTTTATTTCTTGATTATAGACAATCCATTTTGCTTTCTCTGGATATAATAATCTTGCACAATATACACATGCTAGACTTGGATATTGTTTGAGAATATTTTCTTGAAATTTTTTTAATACTAGTTTAAAGTGATTTGTTAAAATCCAAGGCTTTATATGTTTGAAATTTATGTCATTTATTGAATAGACAGAACCAACTAAGTTGTTTGTGTTTGTTTAATTATTAGTAGAGTTTTGATTTTCAAAAAGATTTTGAATCTGTGCACTATTTATTGAAAATTCATTCATACATTTTTCTGGTATATTTACTTCAAATATATTGTATAACTAATGACTCATTTTATAGTTAATAATAAATAATTTTTAATTGTTTTTTTTAATAAATTTTTTTTCAGAAAAAAAAATAATGGATATTTACATTTTCATATTTTTTTTTGTTTGTTTTTAAAATCAGTTTTATTTTTATTAAAAAAATATAGTTAATTAAAAAAAGAAAAAATTACAAATTTTTAAATACTAAAAATAAAATATATAAAGAATAAATAAAATAAAATAATAAAAAATAAAATAATGTAAATTTAAAAAATAAGTAATAATAATAAACAAACAAATTTATTGAGATTCACTATTAATTTTTTTTGAACGTGTAATAATTCTTTTTTTTTGTATTAGGTGCTTTATTGTTACTTTTCCTTTTATTATTATTATTTGGTTCACTTTTAGTGGCAATAATAAAATCATCACCATTATCATTATTATTTCCTTTGATTTCAACAGTGGTATTTTCAGTACTATTATCTTCATTATTATTACTACCTAATACTAAATTTTCTTCATTATTTTCATCAATTATTTTTAAAATTGATTTTCTATAATTTTCTTCTGAATTATTCCAGTTATAGGTTGTTGATAATTGTGTTGTTGATTTTATAGGTGTTTTTTG